TTATCATATTCCAATTGAAGTTCACAGAAAGTACTTACAGGATATAGAGGGCAACTCAAGAATCTTCTCTCGGGATTATCATCCTTCCAGCATGTAGTCAACTTTGCAACCAGCTCACATCTACAAAATACCACACCATTTCCATCCATTTGATCGGATTTAGTCTCTAGGCGGTCAGGTTTTTTTTTTCTACGTTTCACCGCAGTTCACCATTTCTGCCTTTTATTTTACCTTTTTTCAGCATTTAAATTTTCTTTTATTTTTCTTTGGTCAAAGTTGACATTAGTCAACAAATTTTACAAAAATAAAGAACATAACGGTCGAGCAAAAATGGACCGTTAATTCACATAAATTGAGGTAAAGGGACTACATTTTTTTGTTTTAAGGACTAAAATTGGGCATCAAAACATAATAGAGATTAAGTCTGGATACTCCTAAACATGGAGGACTAAAAGTGGATTTTTCCCTATTATAGGGACTACATTTTTTTGTTTTAAGGACTAAAATTGGACACCAAAACATAATAGGGACTCAGTCTGGATACCCCCTAAACATGGAGGACCAAAAGTGGACTTTCTCCATTAACGAATTATGTGTTAATTAATGTTTGATTATTAAATTTGAGAATGTTTAGATTGCACATTAATATGTACTTATCAGCCACATGTTAAAATTTCGTGATCTTTAAACATCATTCCCCAAAATACACATAACAAACATTTCCAATATTTGATAATGCATAACTACTTCTTAAACTAAAGTAAATAAGTTATTCTATTTTATTTCAACATTTATCCTTTTTGAAAAAATTAAGATTTAAGAACACACTGATTAAAATCGAAACAGACAACAAATCCCATTGGAGATTTGAGATAAATTCCCAAACAATGAAAAAAACAAAAAAAATGTGGAAAATTCGGTTGGGCTGCTTTCCTCAAAAGTCTCATATACATGGCCCACAAATTATCCACAAACTAGGGCCCATGATTTCTGGCCTACATTATTAGTAAAAATAGAAAAGTAATGGGCCAATCAGAATCTGGTTATCATCTGCTTTAGTAGGCGGGATTGAGAACGTAATTTACACTTCTCATGATGCTGTTCTGCATAATGGCTGTCAAAACCACACCATTTTCATGCTAATCTGTTTTTTCTGCTCTTTACTTCCGTAATTAGCTCGGGCGTGGTTCAAAAAAGCTGTCCTGAAACGAGCAGAACTAAGGCGAAATTAAAAAATCGAACCGAATGGTGCAATTTGTTGAGAATCAATTTAATTTGTTTTTTTTAATGTAAAAAATAAATTTGGTTCGATTTTGATTCGATTTTCTAATATATTATGGTGCGGTATGGTTATAGTTTTTTATAAGTTCGGTTTTGTTCGTTATGATTTTGTACCGAACTGCACCAAATTGAATAAAATTTGTAGAAAAAACGTGATAAAATCGAAAACCGAGCCGAACTGTACATTTTGGTGTGGTTTGGTTATTTCAATGTAAAAAATATATTCGGTTATTTCTAAATTGCAGTACGGTTCGGTTACTTTTTTATAGGTTCGGTTTGTGGTGTATTGCGTTTCGATGCGGTTATTCACCGAACCGCACAATTGCTCACCCCTACATGAAATTAATCGAGATTCAATTAATGTTTTAGGGGCATTTTGGTCATTTTTGTTGGAGTCACAACCTACGGTGCTTTAATTTCATGTTTTTGTTGCCAATTGTTTCATACAGTAGTTAGTGTATCGACTTTTCACTTTCCACAATTTCATGTTTTTGTTGCCAATTGTTTCATACAGTAGTTAGTGTATCGACTTTTCACTTTCCACAAGCACTTGAAGTTATAAGTTTTGTTTTGTATGCTTTTAGAGTAACTCCAGCCCTGCTCTATCTCTCAAGATATGGCGCAAAAAATCCCTCTAACGCTCCGCTAGAATCTTGGCTAGTTCAGAGAATTGAACAGTGTTGCGCCCAATGTGGCGCAACACTGTAGCTGCAACGCTACATCCTCTTTTTTTTTTTTTTTTTTTTTTTTTTTTCTTTTATGTATTGTAATGTAATATTAATGATAAATTTATGTATAATGTGTATTAGTAAATGTATTTTTTATACTAAATAATTGTGTAATGTATTTTTTGTGCTAAATAGTTTTGTGCTTTTTATTTATTGATATATTATAATTTTATTTTGTAATTTTTTAATATTAAAATGATACTATATAAATAAAAATTTAACACACTCAAACAAGTTTATTTCATTAAAATTAAGTTGTGGATTTCCTTATCCACATATATGGTCTAAACCATATATGGTCTAGTGTGTAAATTTGCACTAATTCATATATTTTCAAAAGTAACAGTTTTGATTCAATCGGTACATAGATGTATATGTATCTTCTTTAAGAAATTCAATTTATTACAATCATTTTTAAAATGTGAATATATGCTCTAAACCATATATGGTCTGGTGTGTAAATTTCCACTAATTTTTATTACTATTTGGGTAATAAACATTTATATAATATTACATATTCATATATATAGCAAATTATTCAAAATAAAAATAAATAAAATATATTTTTATTATTTGAGTAATTAACATTTTATATAAGATTAAATATACATATATACCAATTTATTTGAAATAAAAAATGAATAAAAAAATAATACATTTAATGTAGAGTAAAATGTAGAGATAAGGGCTAGAGATGAATGTTCAACTCAACTCTAGAGTAGAGTAAAGTCCGCGCTAGAGTAGAGATAAGGGCTGGAGATGGCCTTAGTGGCACTTTGTTCTGAGTTGTTTGTGGCGCGATTGAATATAAAGAAAATCGGTTTTGATTGGATTTATGGGTTAAAGTCGATTAATATTGAATAAAGTTAATGTGAGGTAAAAGTAAGAAGGGGTTATTGAATATGATAGATAATTAAAAATATATGAGTAAATAAATAGTGAATTAAAATTGAGTGATGTATGTCAGCTCATTTGGTTACTTCGCTTAACAGTAGCTCCATTTGTTACTTTAGTCCAACATTTAACAACTATAGCTTACCACTCATATAGTGTAACCAACTCCACTTGTGTAGTAATAACTCTAATGGCATGATTAGTATGAAGGAATGACATGAGAATGGAATGATCATTCTCTTCCTCATTCCTATTCTCATGATTGGTATATTTTTTGGGAAGGAATGATCATTCCCATTGGAATGGCAAAACCCATCTTCATGGGATTAGCCATTCAATAGTAAATGGAAGGTTTTCTCATTCCCATGTGTGTAGGAATCAATTTTCTAGAAAATAAAATTAACAAATAATAATAAAATATATATATATATATAATACATAATATAAATAATGATTAAAATATATTAAATAAAATTATTTTAAAAAAAATTCAAATAAAAAAATTAAAACTTACTTTTATTTATTTTTTAATTAGATATATTAAATACTTATATAAAAATAAAACTAAAAAAAGCATTTATATATAATTTAAAAATATATTATTTTATTTTTATATATTATTAAAAATATATTATTTTTTATATATTAAAAATATATTACTTTTAAAAATATATTATTAAAAATATATTATTGAAAAATATTAAAAATATATTATTTTATTTTTAAATATTATTAAAAATATATTATTTTAAAAAATAAAATTCAAATAAAAAATTGAAAACTTACTTTTATTTACTGTTTAATTAAAAAATAAAATAGATATTATTAAAAATATATTACTTTTATTTTTAAATATTATTAAAAATATATTATTTTTTATATATTAAAAATATATTACTTTTAAGAATATATATATAATTTATAAATATATTATTTTATTTTTATATATTATTAAAAATATATTATTTTTATATTATCAAACAATATATTATTCTACTTTTATATATTATTCAAAATATATTATTAAAAATAGTTTTATTTTATTTTTATATATTATTAAAAAAGAATTTATAATTTATTAAAAGTATATTATTTTAAAAAAAAAACTTTTATTTATTTTTATAATAAAAAATAATAATGTCATTCCATTCCAGCCCTATTCATTCTGCATACCAAACGCATCAATGACAAAACATGTTTCATTCCATTCCCATAATCATTCCATTCTTCAATTCATTCAATTCCTACCAAATTTCATTTCATCATACCAATCATGCCAAAAGTAAATTAGCTCGCCAGTTAGCTAGTACA